AATGGGATGGGATGGGATGAGACACTTTTTTCATTTTTTGCTCTTCGACAAGTACGCACACACACATACACACCCATGCACATCTGAGAGTGCGTGTGTGTGTGTGTGGGAGAGTGCGTATTTATTTTTGCACTTCAACAGTTTGTTGAACTTCGTCAAGCAGCTGAGAGTTCTCTCTTGCATTGCTGCAGTTGCGTGTGGCGTGTGGCAAACGGCGACAGGCGACAGGCGACAGCTAATTAGCCCATTGCTGACCATCGAAGCGAGAACGAAGAGGCGAACAAGAGCGGCCGAGGGAGAGACGAAAACGAAACGCATGGAACATGCTGGATTAAATGCGAGCTCTGGCTAGATGTTTCTGTGCGGTTCGATTCGAATGCTTATCGCGCGCGTATGCTCAAAATTTTAAATGTTGTCATTGTTGTTTTGAGTGTGTGTGTGTTGCTGTTGCTGCTGCTGCTGCTGCTGCTGTTGCTCTGTCCGCTGACCTTGAAAACTGATAAAAAGTAGAAAACGTAACGCACGATCCGACAACAGAAGCAACAGCAATAACAACAAGAGAAACAGCAGGCAAACAAACAAGTCCCAAAAAAATGTATGCCGCTTAAGAAAACAAACACGCACACACACACACACACTACACGTGCACACACTTACATGCATGCATGTAGCCATGCATCTGTGCTTGTGTCTGTAGAACAAACTCGTTTTTTTTATATGCGTCGTGCGTTTATTTTGTTTTGGTTTTCGTTTTTTATGTATTCTTATTTTATTTATTTTTATACCAAATATAGTCTGAAGTCTAAAAAATAAGTTTCGTAGCAAAATCTTAGCTTAAGCATTTTGAATGTTTCAAAAATATAGATATAGATATATGTATATGTATACAAATTACATAGTATATATACATATGTATGTATGTATATGTATGACTGTATGACTGTATGGAGAGTGTTCCTATGATTGGCACGAGAAATAAAATGCAAAAGATACGACAAGCAGTCGGCAAACACAATGTGAAATTCTTATAAACAACAAAGTCTTAGAAACAAAAACAAAAACTTGGAAGTGATCATAATCATGGTAGGTCTCGCACTCATCGCTGGCCCACTCGAGATTGTGCGCTCCATTGTCATTGCGTTGGAGCAGTTGAGGTTGGAGTGATGTGCCTCGATGTGAATCGATTTGATTTGGTTGTGGTTTGGTTCTTTTTGTGTGTCTGGTGAGCGTGCTGAATGAGTGGTTGGGTGGGTGGGTGGTTGCTTGCTTGGTTGGTTGGATGGTGCTGCTGTAGTCCGTGGCATTGCCAGTGTGTGAAGAAGATATGCATGGACAAATGGCCCTCAATCCTCATCGATGCCGCCCACATCCTTGCCAGCTGCCCTGCATTGCACACAGTAGCGATAGGACACCGGCTCCGGTGGCTTCTCAGCTGTCATGGACGAGTTGCCCTTCTGGCCGCCGCCGCCGCCGCCGCCACCGTTGCTGCTGCCAAACGGTGCCGGCTTGCTGTCCACCGGACTGATGGGAAAGTGCTGCCAGTGCGGGCAAGGCATTTGCTTCGGTGGATGAATGGGGAACGGCATTCTGAGTCTGCTCACACAAACACTGCACTTGCGAATTGAAAACCAATCAAAAAAATAGTAGCAAAAAAAAAACACACACACACACAGACGTGCAAAAGATGTGCAGCGAGAGAATCAACGGCCGACAGCCAAAGACTTTGCTGGATGCAACTGTAAATTGCTGTGAGAGCTACTGCTGCATCGGACGCTCCGACTCGCTCGAAAACTCGCAATCAACTGTGCGGCTGCTAGAAGCGATGCCGCGAACGTCAACGACCAAAACAAAAACACAAAGAAGTCGGCTTATGCCAGGCCGACAGCTGAATGCTCTACAATATTTATGGCAATGAGTGCGGATTAAATTGACACTTATATATGTGATTTATTCTGACATTTTCAGTTACTATATTCATAAATATATATAAATACATATAATTCAATGTTTAATTCTTGAACAAAGAAGAGAAACATTTTTTACAGAAAAAAATGTTCATATATAATATTAATATTCATATATAAAATTAATCGCTAACCTTCTGAACTTGTTGTTAAGTCTGTTTTTGCCCTTATCAAAATGTATAATATTTATATTCAAGAGACATAGCGTATGCTCAAGTCAGAGTTGTTCGCTTTGATTAGGGCAGAAAAACAACAAAAATCAATAATCGCTGTGTCGCTGCGACCGGCAAAAAGTAACTCAGCTGGTCTGGCGGGCTCGTCTAGCCAACAAAGAAGAAGAAGAAGAAGAAAAAGAAGAAGCAGGAGCAGCAGGAGAATGAGCTGAAGCATTGCTCCGCACAAAGAGAACGCGCGAAGAGACACGCAGGGTGAGAGAGAGAGAGAGTGATAGAGAGAGGGAGCAACAGTTGACGCTATGCTTCTGATGCTCTATAAAGTCCAGAGCTGTCTTTGTCTGCGCTCTGCGGGTGGAATGACTTTTGAATTTAAAGTTTCTCTACACCCTTCGTTCCGTTTCGTTTCGTTTCAGTTTATTTTGTGTGCTGGGCTTTGGTGGTGGGCGGCGACTAGCGGACGGGCGCGCTTCTTATACGTTTTATGGTTATGCTTTGTTCGTCCAGCCATTTGCAGTCTTATGCTCTGCTGCGGACTTTGCCCGCTCGCATTGCATTGTAAGCTGGAACTGGCGTTCCCGTTCCGTTCCGGGTTGCACCCGCCAACTGCGGGTCTGGGTGGGAAATGTTGTTAACCTCAGAGCGCTTTGTTCGCCTTAAGCGCAAGTACTACATACAACTTTTTAATAGAGCTGCTCAAGTGTTAGTCATGCCTGCAAAGGAATTGTAGCGGGTCATATACTGCCCGGTAGTAAATTACAATTCATTACAAAATCATGTGCCCATTTACACGCACAAGACTCGTAATTTAGTTCCGGCTCACTCTTGTTCATTTCATTATTGTTAGTTAGTTTCTTATTTTATTTTCGATTTGAACATGAATAATTACGCACAATAAACAAACAAATGTGATATTTGTTTTTTGAAGCGCTACGACTTGCTAGTAGAGCTGAGCTTGAGTGACATTGAACATAATATGCAGAGAACTAGAAGGTTCCTATTCAGACTTTGAATGAACGTACGCCGCTCCAGAAAGAATTGAACTTGAAAGTTGAATATCAAGTTTCTTATTTTATAATTTACTATATACATAAGTACATATTATGTACATATATATATGATCTCTTTAGAAAATCTGTTATATTATTACACAGTTTTTTATTTCAACCATCTAAACAAAAACATTGGGCATCTGTTAAATTGTATACTAAAAGAAATATAAAATATTGCTATATATTATTATTAATTACTGATAGTCTAATTTTCAAAATTATAAAATATTAATTTTTTTGTTTTTGTTTAATTGTACGATTGAGTTGATTGAGTGCTATAGAAAATTTTGAACATTATTGGAGAACGCCAAGGCTACGACTCTATGAATTGACTCTCGTAAGCCCAAACTAATATTTGAGAGGTTGCCCAGAAAATAATACTTTAAACTCGTTTGTATGTTATTCATTAGGTTTTTATTAAACTTATGGGTTAGTCCAATACAATTATGTTTAAGCATTTATAATATCCTCGTGCACTGTGTCGTCTGTCTCCAATTAGGGACAGCTTCGTTCACATATCTCGTGCTTTTTTCTCTATCCATGCATTTACAATTTAATTAGACTCGCAATTATACATTTATTTTCACGTTCGATCTTAAAATTACTTTGATATAACATAAAAAAAATATGTATGTATATATCGATCTATATATATATTTATTTATTTATTTATGTGTGTGTGTGTTGTGTGTCTGTGTATGTGTACATAGCTGTCTAAAATGACTTCTCACAGCTGAAGAGCCGTTGACGAAGTGCCGAAGAATACAAAAATTTAACATTTTCGATTTAATTTTGTGTTTTGGTGTTTATTATTAAATTTGTTAATATTAATATCATTATCCTCGACATATCTTACGCTTAGGATTATACAAAAAAAAACCTTTACATCGATAATAATTAAATTATTTTGCTTGTTGTATAATTGTATAAATATTTTGCTTAAACAATTTCCTACATTTTTCATTATTTTATTTAACTTTATTTTTTAAATTTTCAATATATAAATATATGTATGTATATTTATATATATATATATATATATATATATATATATATATATACTCATATATATAGATTTAAGATTCGTTTCGCTTGATGCTGATGTAAAGTAATATGCGTTACATTTATTTAAAGTAAGCTAGGTGCTATTACAATAGGTTGTATTACTTGTATTATATTTAGACTAAAGTATATATAAACAATAACTTGACAATTGTCTGATTTGTATGCAAATCTATATCTCATCCTAATGCCTTCATTTTGTCGCTAGGGAAATATATATACAAAACAAAGTCGATCCCAGAATGTGCCACTGAATGTTTCAAGAGTTGAGAGATTCAAAATGCAAATTCATTAATGTGATACAAATACAATAAACTAGTTGCAATAGATCTAGTACTAGATACAGTGATATATAGATAGATAGAGAGTGCGAAAGAGAGATGCAGTTGGGAAGATATTGAGAATCGAATCAAAGCTAAGACAGTTTTCAAAGAAATCATAATTCGAACACCTGAGTTTATATGTGTGAGTATATGTGTATGTATGTGTGTGTGTGTGTGTGTGTGTGTGTGTGTGTGTGTGTGTGTGTGTGTGTGTGTGTGTGTGTGTGTGTGTGTGTGTGTGTGTGTGTGTGTGTGTGTGTGTGTGTGTGTGTGTGTGTGTGTGTGTGTGTGTGTGTGTGTGTGTGTGTGTGTGTGTGTGTGTGTGTGTGTGTGTGTGTGTGTGTGTGTGTGTGTGTGTGTGTGTGTGTGTGTGTGTGTGTGTGTGTGTGTGTGTGTGTGTGTGTGTGTGTGTGTGTGTGTGTGTGTGTGTGTGTGTGTGTGTGTGTGTGTGTGTGTGTGTGTGTGTGTGTGTGTGTGTATATATCATAAAGATTATTATTAATCTGAAGCTTTTCAAAGGGTTTTCTGTTCTCAGTTTGATTTGATTTGACTTGATCTACAGGGTGGCTACCACATAAACAGCTACGTCGGGTCGCGTGTCTCCGTTATATACATATACATATATATATATATATATATATGAAGTGGCATAAATATGTTACATATAGTTAAGGGTCGTCCATTGACGACGCGGCTAAGTAAGGATCCATTCATTGTTGTCATTGTGCAATCAAAATTAATCGTAATACACATTAAAAATGATTATATATATATATATATATGTATGTATGTGCACATATATATATATATATATAAAGGTAAGCTAACTAAACTAAACAGACAAATAAAATCTAAAAAAAAAAAAAAAAATTAAATAAAATATTCCTTCAACTATCAAAGAGAGAGTCAATTGATTTTAAAATAATAAAAAAAATTGACACGGTCAAGTGACTGCGTTAGCTGCCTTATGAGGCGTTCGAGGCGGGCAGCGTCACTGCCGCCTTGCGATAGTAAATGTTGGCGCCCTTGATGGGCAGTGGATGCGCCTCGGTGTTGAACACCCACTCGTCCAGCGGCAGCACGGAGTCGTCTGAGAACAGCAAGTACAGGTACTATGGAGGGGAGAATAGAGACCAGTTCATTAGTTAGTAATTGATTCAACTGCATTTCAATTCAATTTGCTGTCTACCTTGAGTGTTTCGGCCAGGAAGAAACTCTGCTGGACATCGTCCTTCTGCGGCTCCTGCTGGTAGACGTTGCGCAGGCCGCAGTAGCCGTGCGGTGTGCGGCAATGCTTTTCCAGGGCCTGCACCGCCTGCCAGCCCCAGTCGCGGTACTTCTGATCGTGCGTCAGACGCCAGAGCACAAAGTAGCTCTCAAAGGTCTCCGGGCGCAGTATATAGTATTTCTCCTGCGAGCGCAGGGCGCGTGCCTCGGCTGCTTCGCTGAAACTGAAGAGCAAGAGGAAGAGATTAACCAGAGATTGGCATAAGTGAGGGATTCGAGCAGTTGCTGCTGTTGAGCACTAACCGGAACGCCTCGGGGCCCAGCTGGGTGGGCGTACGTATATAGCTCTCGTGGCAGGTGTTGGTAATGCCCTTGCCCACCTCCATGTATTTATCAGTGTGATGGTTCTGGCGTGTAGCAGCGCCCAAAGCAAAGAGGCCGCCTACAACAAAATAGGATTGGATAAATATAGTACAAACATATGCATACACATACATATATCATATATGTGAAATCTCAATTACCTGAGAAGCAGGCCAGATGATCCATTTTATGCTCCAGTCGATCAAACTTCAGATCGGACACATACGTCAGTCCATTGGGGCTGACGCGCACCATTTTGTCAATGATCGCCAGCATGGCATCGTCGAACATTTCGCGCGCCTCCTCGTCCGTCTGGCCGGACTGCAGCCAGGCCTTCAGCAGATACTCGTAGTAGCTGTCACCCAAGGCGCCCAGCGACATGTGCTCTGTGGGAAGGCATCAAATGATTGATATTAACTTCAATATATAAATATATGCTTCAAGTCGATCTACTTACGCTGACCCCATTTGCCTGTTTTGGGGTTGAGGAAGTTCGGATAGAGCCCCTTGGGCTTCTCAATCTCCTTGAGCACCTGGCGTATGGTCTGCACGCGCTCCCGATACAACGGATTGCCCGTGATGTCGCTCAGGTAGGCAAACTCCAGATGGAGTGTGCCAAACTCGGAGAGAATCGAGCTGCCACCGGATGCCCAGCCATAGTTCTTGGCCATGCCCGTCTTGGTGTTGACCAGGGCGTACGGTATGCCCGTGGGCGTTTGGAATGCGGGCAACAGCTTATCGGCCACATGCTGCGCCTTTTCCTTGTACATTGGATCCCCGGTGAATGCGTACAGTGTCAGCATCCCTCCCACAAAGCGTATATTCGTCTCGAACACGGACAGCTCGGCGCTGATGTTATCCAGCGAGAAGCGGCGCTCGATCCAGTCGCGCCCCTCCTTGTACTCCTTCTGCAGGCCCATTATGTACAGCGTGTCCAGGCCATCCACAATTGTGGCGCCCAGATCGTACGAGCCAAATATGCTGCCCGAGTGCGGACGCTGCGACAGTGGACGCAGCTCATTCTTGCCCCAAGCATACAGCTTGTAGTTGTGCCAGGCGTGCTCCATCATCTGGAATAGAGGCAAAGGGGATATATTAATAAATGTATTTATTTTTTAATTTACATATTTTTAATTTAATTTATAATTGAGTATTATATAAAATATATATACATATATATAAAATATAAATATTTATCAATAAATTACTCATTTAAATTCATCACTTCATATATTCTCATTTTTATTTTATTTACTTTTTGATTAATATTATTTACTCAATTTACTTGTTGACATTTACTTATTAAAGTAAATTGTCATTTAATAAGTATTTATTTTTATTTTTTTAGCTTATGTTTTTTTTTTCTATTTACTTATTTTTTTATATAATCAAAATATTCATTTATTTTTGCTTTTTTATTTCATTTATTTTTATTTTCATTTTTATTCAGTTACATATATTTGATTTTTTTAAACTAATTTTATTTATTTAATGTATTACTTAATACTGATTTTTATTAATTAATTAATTTTTTTTTATTAATTTTTTTATTTGTTTATTTTATTTTTTATAAATATTTACTTATTTGTATTTACCTATTTTTGGTTAGTTCTTTAATTAGTTAATGATTTTTTTATATTTTGATTTTTTTTTTAAATAATTGTTTATTATACATTTTTTCGCTTGTGTTTTTTTTTAATTTGTTTCATTCATTGTTAATTAATTAAATGATTTTTAAAATTATAAATCCCATTTTCTGATTTTGTTTATTATTGGCTAATTGATGCCCCGATAATGTTATGCAAGCGAACAGTTAGATCCACTTCGTTATTCTTATCCGTTCTCACTCATGTTTATCCACGTTTTGTGTTTTGGATATATGCTCTCAATTCTATCAAACAATTCACATTCATTTCAAATAGAATTTGTTCGCAGCCATCCCCCCTCTCGGCTTGTTAGCCAATGTGAATGGCTGTTCTAATGCATGGCAATGCGATGTGGAATTCCACGTGTGTGTGTGTGTGTGTGTTGTTCGCCTTATAGCTACATAAATATTCGAATGGCTTTGCTTTAATAATGCAGCTGCACTTTAAGCGAAGTGCATTAACTTGTTTCTCTTTTGTTGACTTCTATTTCAGAATGTTCAGCTAACCAATCCAATTGGAATTGGATATACAAAAGAATACCGCACACACACTCACACACACACACACAGCCAAACACTCTCTCTCTTACACACACACACACACGCATGCCATGCACGTGTGCAACTGTGAAAAATGTTAACAAAATAGACAACGCGAAATTTCGTTTTTGGCTGTCGTTCATTTGGAGGCTAAAACCAGCGCTTCCTTTTGCCTCCCCCCTCGCCTCCCCCTGCCGACCCTTTGGCAGACACTCGACAGTTGCCCAGGCCATGGGTCATGGGCCACGAGCCACGGGCCACCTGCAGTCAGCTCAGGTAACCATCTATCCCACTGCCACGCCTCCCACTGCTCGCCCCCCCACCACGGCCAATTCGCACAGGGCCAGCAGCGCAGCATAATTTGGCATTGCATACTTTTGAGCGCATTTTTTGAGAAATTAAATTACGAGCAGCAAAGAAAAAAATAAAATAAAATTCGAGAATTTATGAGGCTAACAAAAAATGCTCAACTAGCAGATACTCTCTTTAGCACATATGTGCTGCATATTTCGACGACAAATTGTGATAAATATTTATAAAAATAAATCTTCATTTGCATTTCGACTCACACACACACTAACACTCTCACATATATTGCTGATTTTTGCATGACTGCAGGGTATAAATATTAGGAAAAACAAAAAAAGAAAATGAAAAGCGCCATCGTGCACGCCTGCTGAGCTACACCGATTCAGTGTGGCCCCCACAAGCCTAGGCCAGCCCCACCCCAGCCCCTTCAGCACTCCTCTCCTTTGTAGGCCACGTTGTTGGGCTCTTTGTGTTTGCCCGTTGCGGATCTCTGGTCGGTCGGTCGGGCCGATGGTTGGATGGCCGCTTGGTTGCGGAGCTTTTTGAAGGCAATGCAAATATTAACAGTTTTCCGGTAATTAATTAAACTCGGACACGACGTTCGCACACCTCGCTGGTTAGGGGCCACGTGGAGTTCAAGGCTTGCGCGGGCTCCATTGTCAGCGAATTGTCCTGCGACTCCTGCCACGCACGCACACACACACACACACACACACACACACAGATGATGGCGCATACCTTAATAATTCTTAGCTCTGCATAGGCAACCCTTTGCCGCCTGCTTAAGGCCCAAATAAATTCACGTCTATGAAAATGCAAATGGCGCACAGTTCACACACACACACACAGACACGTAGGCACACACACACACACACATTAACACACGCAAAGCCAGCGCTCAGAAGGAATGGCGCAATGTCAACGCAAATTTTCTTATTAAAATTTCACACTTTGAATTTCGATTGGGATTTGCCTTAACTAAAATTCAAGTATTTTGTATCGAGTTGGTTTTGGTGAGGTAAATCGATTGATGCTTTTATATATGCTCGACCATTTGCCGGAGTTAATGTCTGCAACCTTTCTATGGAGAGCATCAAATTAAATTACACTCCGCAGCCCGTATTATGATTCTGCTTAAATCGCTCAGCCAATCGATTGGCTGACTGCAATCTAAGCATTGAGCATAGCTTATGCACTCTTAAGTTTTAAGTGCCCAAGCATATTCGCTCTTATAAATTCATAAAGAGACCTCAAATTCATTAACAACATTGCTTTAGTGCTTAATAAAGTGTTACAGATATATTAAGCATGCGAGCTCAAAGAGAAGAAGCACAGGAGAGAGATCACAGGAAAGGCAAATACAGGAAGGAAGAGCACAGAAAAGAGAGAGCATGGGAAAGCGATGACTGGAAGAGCGAGCACAGCATAGCGATGACTGGAAGTCAAAATTGAAATGATGCTCTTCTTACCCATTTATATATGTATGAGTGGCTGGGTTCATCTCTATTTATTTATTCTCATAGTCTAAGATGAATGTCTAGCTCTCGTTAGAGAGATTCTCTTTATTTGTAGCGTGCTCATTTTATTCGTGATTATTGTCATCCATTGATGATTTGCAAATAACTATCGTTAATAAGCGATGGCTTTAAAATAACTATCGTCGCATAGCACTGACATTGCAATAACTATCGTTGATCATTGATGGTTTTGAAATAACTATCGTCGACTAGCAGTAACTATCGATGCATACTAATGGCGCCTACTATCGATAATTATACAGCTGTAATTGCTATCGACTTGCTGAATATATATATTATATTTAAATGACTCAAAAATATATACATAGAAAAAAAGAAATATTTTTGTTAAGTGCCAGTTGGTGTGTTTGATAACTGTTGGAGATTGCTTTAAGGCATATAATATATGTATATGTATATATATATATTAAGAAGTAATTGAAGACAAAATCCTTGTAGACTTGCTCCAAGTGCAGTTCAGCTCAGCTCAGCTCAGTTGAGTTGAGTTGAGTTTAGCTGAAATGCTTAATGAGTCGCATCTAATTTGAAGCTTGACTGGAAGTGCGTTGGCGTCGTGTGCTCGATGTTTATTTATCCAGTGCGCTTGTTCAACTAGACTTATTAACTGCCGTTAATTAAGCCAAACTTGGGCCAAAACTGAACGATTTGAGGGCAGAAGCAGAAGCAGAAGCAGGAGCAGAAGGGGCAGCAGCAGCAACAGCAGCAGCAGGAGCAGCAGTAAATAATCAGCTTGACTAATTTGAACGGAAATTGTTTGATGGCTTTGACTGATTGATTGAATATTTTTGCACGCTGTTAGCCAAACTGAAGCACACACACACACAAACACAGAGAGAGAGAGAGGGAGGAAGAGAGAGAGAGAGAGAGAGAGAGAGAGAGAGACATGTTATACGCTTGTGTATGCAGCTGTAGTTTCAGTTTTGTGTGTCTTCATTACGAATTAAGTTATATCCTTGAAATGTGCAAACGTCGCACGGAACGTGCTTTGCCAAATGCGTATATGTTGATGGCAGTGTTGCGTGTATGTGTGTGGGTGTGCGAGTGTGTGTTAAACATCATTTCCGCAACGAGACGTGAAAACGTGCACGACCATTGCGGCGCGTCTCGTCATATGTCACACATGCCCCCTAAAATGCCGCACATAGCAGTTGCATCCTTCCGCCTGCCACAGAGCAGCCGTTGCCCGTCCGTCCCGGGAGCGGTTGGCCAGCGATGAGTTTAGTTGTTGTTGTTGTTTTTGTTTTTTTCTGCTGTTTTTGGCTTTTGGCCCGATTATGCACTTGACCTGGCAAAGTCGACGCAATTGCGGCTGCGGTTGCAGATGTTAGCAAAGTTAGCGGCATGCACCGCATGACATTCGCACTGCCTCTGCCACTGCCACTGCCACTCCCACTGCCACTGCCATTAATTTGATCAGGATTTAATTGCCACTTCTAGCGGCGACTTAAGCGAAAAGTTCAAATTGGGCAGGGAGCTGCGCGGGCTGGGATCTCCGTTGGCTTGGCTTAATTTAATGCAAATTTCAAATGCAACTTTAACAGCAACAGCAAAGTTTGCTGGCCAAAAACTTTGGCCGCTTAATGCCGCAGGGCCGCAAAACAATGCAAATGGCAGCCAACTAAATGAAAGCGAAAGGGGTGAAACGGACGAAACGGGGGAGGCAGCATAACTTTAAAATGTATTTTTCTTTTTTTAATTTAATTTTTTTTTTTTTTTTGTGAAATTATGCATACACCAACACTAAAACACACACAGAGAGGGAGAGAGAGAGAGAGAGGGAAAGATAGAGAGACGAGCTTCACACAAAAGTTTTTGGCTAACTCTTTGGCCAAGACTAAGGGAATATAATTTGCTTGGGGCCATAAAATAATGCGAAAGACGACGCGTCGCTTCTGTTGAATATCTGGCTGAAAAAGGAGCGAGCACACACACGCACACGCACACACATATATATACAGAGCAACTATTTGTCTGGTTAAGTTTTGCATGCTTTCTTAGCGACGGAATATGAAGTCAAACTTAACTGAAAAAAAAAGCA